GAGGTGGTAAGGGTAAAATCAGCAAGGAAAGTGAAAGTTGTGCTCAATTAACAATTTTAGTGAATGAGAAATCTTCTAATGGCCATTTTTAAAGTTAGAGACCTAAAGTTTGGAAAACTGACATTGTTCTCAAGTAGCACATTCTTGGAATACTTTCACTTCGATTTAACCCATTTTGAAAGGTATCTACATAGGCTATCCAGAAACAGTCTCTTTCATATTATAGACAGTCAGTAAATGTTTATTGAATGAACCCATGTACTGTTTCTAGCTTTGAGGATCAGGATATTTCATTTAATTTACCACAGGTAAGCTATTTAACTTTCACAGCAGTTTCTCTTGTGTGAAATGGTTATTGAACTACAGAGGATTAAATTCAAATGAAATTTCAAAATTATTTCTGAACACCTATTGTTAATATCACTATTTCTATCTTTAGCTAGTGATCATTCTTTAAGAGTCTGAAGTGAAGCACTGGTTCAGCACCTGCCTCATTAGTCAGTTGCCTCACCTTGAATCTGCCTGACCTGGAAAGGAGGCTATGATGTGATCCATACAATACCTCCTACCTTAACCTTCAGAATATCATCAGGACCTGTTGCATCTCATTTTATTTTTGAATTTTTATTTGTAACTATTTGTAAAGATATTTGATGTCTTTTATTCTTCCGAAGAACGAAGGAAATCTTTACTTATTTTTCTTTTTTGAAACAGAGTCTCAATCCATCTCCCAGGCTGGAGTGCAGTGGGCTGTCTCAGCTTACTGCAACCTCCGCCTCTAGGGTTCAAGTGAATCTCCCACTTCATCCCCTCAAGTAGCTGGGACTACAAGTGTGTGCCACCACGCTCGGCTAATTTTTTAAAAATATTTTGTAGAGACAGGGTTTCGCCTGTATAAAGCTTTATACAGGGTCCAATGGAGCTACATGGTAATTACAAGATAGGATGGTAGAAATCTTCATGAGCCTATTTTTCCCATTTTGCTATTTCAACTTGCTAGGAATGGTTTTAGCATTGCTATTTCATTGTTCTCAACAATGCTTTTCTAAAAAGATTAAAATAATAAGAAAATGGAAGAATGAAACCTCCTGGAAGGAAATAAATAAATCATCATGGTGGCATCAAGCTTTAGTTTTCCTTTTGGGTTGTGCAAAGTATTGCATTTTTAAAAAGTAGGGAATAAGAGAAGTATGGAGATATATTTTGCAGTCTTTTTAAAGACTATTAAACACAGTTGAGGATTTAAAAATTTCCATTTTCTTCCCATAATGACAAAGAAAAAGAAGTTGATAGAGGAAAGTATTATTCAATGAAACAGAAAAAGAATGCAAAGAGATAGGTATCAGCTTCCTAGGCCATAATGATGACAGTAAATTGGTCACAGAAGGGAAATCTCAGGTATGAGTCCTCAGATGACAATATTCTGGGTATAATTTTTTCTCCCATACTTAAAAATCAATGAATGAACAATTCATTTCTAAATAAATAAAGAAAATACGGTATTCTCATCCAGTTAGTCATTCAACAGGAAATATTTTGCAGTAAGAACTTAAACCATTCTGTTTTGCTGAAAATATGTTAAGAGTATCTTTTATTGTTTCAAATTGTTTCAAAATTTATTCCATGTGGTTTACTAGCAAATGAATTCTGAAGGCAGGTGTGTTTACAAAGGTTACTGGAAGGAAATACAAGATATAGAAATAAAAAATTAATTGAACTGATTATTTTAACTGGTGTTCATAAATCCAGAGATAAAATTTTTGGCACTTATGGAGCAAAGAAAATGGCAGTCTTCATGCTGATGTCAGTGGTGGCCTGTCTGGAGCAGCCACTGCCATGATGCCAGCTGCAGTGAGGGAGGTGCAGCTGGGGCTGCGGACTCAGGCATCCCTGTATCCTTGGGGACTGGGAGCAGGCAGGAGCCCCACCCTCCCAGGTGCTGCTGCAGCTGCCCAAGCCATGGCTGCAGATCCTGGCATCTCTGTGCGTTCAGGGTCCCAGGAAGCCCCTCTTCCCCCACAGGCTCCTGCTGCCTAGCCTCTCCCCACTCCCGGCAGCCGGTCTGACCTTGAAGCAAAGTCGGGGCCCAGCCTGGCCACTGTGGCAACCTGGCTTGGTGTGCACAAGCTCAGGGCAGTGCTGACATGCCAGTGCCCTGCTGCCTTGGCCCCCTCCAGACCTTGGGCACCAACAAACACAAGAGGGAGGCCAAAGTGGGTACTGAGGGAAGCTCTGCACTGGCCTGCAGTTTCTCCTCAGCATGAACAGTCTGGGTGCCATGAACAGCAGTCGGAGGCAGACAGGCTCCTGGGCTGAAAGGGGCGGATCCCCAGTGGAGCTTCACCTTCAAGCCAGAGAAAGCCTGAAGTCTGGGGGCCTGGCTGCCAGTCCCACAGACCAGGGTGGGAGCTGATAGTGCTTTTTCATGGGTCCACACATGGACCAATTAGCACATACTTCCTCTCCTCTGAAGTCCATAAAACCCCCGGATTCAGCCAGACTCAAAAAAGATGACAGGATGACCAGCTGCAGAGAGGAGCTACCCACTCTAGGGTCACCTCTCTGCTGAAAGCAGAACACTCATCAGGACGCCCTGGAGCTATCCACTGTAGGTCTCCTCTGAGCTGTTTTATCACTCAATAAAGCTCCTACTTTGCCTTGCTCAGCCTCCTTTGTCCATGTACCTCATTCTTCCTGGATGCAAGACAAGAACTTGGGACCCACCAAATGACAGGGTTAAAAGAGCTATAACACAGGGCTGAAACATGCCCCTTGCTGGCCACATTGTGGGCAATAAGAAATAAGAGCAGAGAGAAGGAGAGAAGAAATGCAACCCTTTGGGGAGATGAGACCTGGGAGCTCCCTAAGCCAGGGCTGTGACACCCTCCTTGGGGCTCGGCAATTCCTGCTGTCTCCAAGCTTCTGGGCACCAGCACATTCCACAGTGCCAGTCGTGGAAGCTGCTTGCAGTATGCCTGGTCCAGGTGCAGCCTTGCAGGGAGCCGACACCTGTGCTGGCTTCTGGACTTCCCTGCCCCCACAGCAGCCAGCATGCCTGGCTGTGCGCAGTGGCCAGACACCACACTTACTCACTCACACACCCCTCACTGCTCTGCTCACCCTTGGCAGGCATGGGATCCAGGCCAGCAGCACCAGCTGAGTGCAGCCTGCCAGGCCGAGTGGGCCCAGCAGGCCCAAGCAAAACTTAAGCAAAGGCACCACCAGCCACAGAGATTTCCGGCTGGCGAAGCAATACCCTAAGAATCCTGTGACAATGCCAACACAATTCTGGTTTGTTAAAAATTTCAAATGTGTCACATTTTGATAAGGCCAAACAGAGCAGAACCATGAATATGCAAAGAGTTATTTGAAATCAGGAATCAATATTTACACTATGGATATGCTGCAGGCTCCTGTATGATAGGTTTGGCGATTAGTTGAATTTTAAAGACATTGTCCATTTTGGGTATAGATACCTTCAAAAGCAGGAAAAGATGGAAAATTTAAATTTGCTATGCTTAAATTCTTATTAACATTTCTAACTTTTTTTTTTTTCCTATCCCTTATTCTTCTATCAATTATTTGCAAAATGACTTAAAATATTTTTTAAAATATTTTAGAAAATTAAAAGGGTTTTTTGGCCCCAGATGGCAAATGGTGATTTTTTTTCCTGGTATAATGAAGGTGAATGAGCTCTACTTGATGTATTTCAGTAAGTATATCAATGTACATCAATAAGTGAATGGATAAAGGAATGACTAGACCCAATCAGTAAGAATGTGAGGTGACTTTCAAAAAGAATATACAATAAAAGAAAGCAAAATAGAAAGGAGATCAAAGTGAAGGAAAAACACTTCTTTATTTTCAATTTCAGTGCTTGAGAAATAGAGCCAAATATAGCTACTGGTTGTAGCAACTACTGCAGTCTTCTTAGCTACAGAGAAGCCATGACTGCTCCTGTGCTGCTCATCAACATTTCAAAGTTACAAAGTGAACCCAACTCCACGCCCAGTTCAGTTACAAAGTTGGAGACAGAGTTGTGCATACCTACAGGTATGTTATCTGAAAGAAGATATTGTGAGAACACAGAGTCTTATGACTTTGAAAAAAATATATTACACATCAAAATGCAATGTTTAATGAGTCTGCTTTCTGTTCCTATAAGCCAACTCCAACCCACTGCTTTGCAACTTGAGCCTTTATTCTTTATGCAACACTTATACTTCATTTCTGCTGCCTTCCCCTTCTCAGTTGACAGTTCCAGTTTCCACACAGGCAAAAACAAAAACAAAAACAAAAAACAAAAACAACAACAAAAATAGCTGCATTTAAATATATATTTAAAATTTATGATGTATATGGAAGGATGTTTATGGCAGCATTATTGATATTACTGATGAATTTAGGATAACTTTAATGACCATAAATATGGGAAGGATTAAATAAAACACCATACACTGATATTCTGGAATATTATGGAGCTACTAAAAATAATATAATACTGGTATTAAAGGCTATTCATGAGTATATTTCTGAGTAAAAAGAAGGAAGTTATAGAATAATATGTTTAACAAGATCCCATTAAAAAGAAGTGATCCTCTCTCTATAGGTATATTAAATGTATATTGCATGTATACAAACATATGCAATACACACATACATTTTATACACACATATATGTTATACAGTATATGTATTTGTATGTTTTAAAAGACTGGAAAGATACTTGTTGGATTTGTAAGTGATCATTCCAGGGGAGTGGGAATGGGGGTAATTTTTACTTTTAATTTTAAACATTTCTGTATTGTTTTTTCTTCTTTAACAAGGAGGTAATACATTAGTAATTCAAAACTTTTTTTAAAGATAGAGCATATCTGCTATTGAGAGTGTACTTTGTAAGTGATGTCCACTTTTTTTTCTCTCTCTCTCTCTCTCTCTTTTTTTGTAGAGATGGGGTCTTGCTATGCTGCCCAGGCTGGTCTAAAATTCCTGTCCTCAAGCAGTCCTCCTGTCTTGGCCTCCCAAAGTGGTAAGATTACAGGCATGATCCACTACACCTGGCTGGATGTCCATTTTTATGTATTCTCTCTAAAAATGCATTATGTGTACAACTGGGTCTTCAGTATCTGACTTTTCATCCCAGGCTCATATGTTTCCTAGACTCTTAAACCTGCCATCGTCACTTCTGAAGCATAGAAAAGGCACAGAGCGATAAAATGATTTAAAAAAAAGGCATCATCCAAGTTCTTGATAGTGGTAAGTCAATAAACTAAATCATAATTAATATTTTGCTTAGCTACCGATGCAGTGATATCAAATTTTATTAAATATGATTAATTAAAATATTGTTGTAAATAAACACAAATCGCTGACCCCCTCAAAGTCTTTGCAGCGACTTTTGAGAAGTGCAGCTCCAAGACTGACTTGGGTTTTTCCACTCCCAGTCTCATCCTCTGACAGCCCAATTACTGGGAAACACAAAGCTGAATTTGAAATTATTTTATGGGGGCGATTTTTCTGTCCCCCTACTCCCACTTTCAACTCAATTAAGAATGCTTTCTTGTTTGGCGATTGCCTGATTGTGGGATATCTTCATGTAAACCTCCCCCCCGAAATGGAATCATGGATAGATATGTTGTAACAAACTGTACATTCCCTGATGTTTGCTTTTTTCGAAAATGCGTTAGTTCTACCTTCTTTTAAAAAATTCATTAATTCGTTTATTTCTGCAAAGAGAGACTGCCTTTATCTAAGTCAACACACACACACAGACACACACACACACCCACCCACACCCACACCACACACACGAATACCCAGGTATTCAGGCCCATGCAGTCAGTCATTTACTAAACCAATCTAGGCCGGAGAGACTGTCATCCTTCAGCTCTACAAAGGGGCTCAGTGTGTGCATCTTGCGCGGAATTAGTGCAGGCAAACAGTTCCTGGAAGGGTGAACAGCTAGCTCATGTGTAAAATGATCGCACATCAGTTCCCCAGCTGCCGCAGCCCAGCGCCGGAGCCGGAGAGGCCAGGGAAGAGCTTTCCCCCTAGCCAGCCAGGCAGAGACGCGGGAACATAAAACACATTCCAGCGGTTGGCATCTGGGCGCGCAGCTGCCAGGCGCAGCCACTGTGTGGCCGCCGGGGCTGCGGGGCGGGCGGGGGCAGAGCAGGTCCGGCGCCAGGCCTGCAGAAAGCGGCCTGCGGGCCAGTTTGGCTCTGCAGGCTGTGGCCTCATTACTGAGAGCAACAGTTTTATCTAGAAAGTGTGCTGCAGGGGGTTTTGGAATCCCCCTCTGGGGCGAGGGCTTGGGGAGTAGCTTTGGCACTCCCAAGGCTCTGGGGTCGGGGAGCATTCCATGTACCTTGGTGTTCATGACTCAGGCAAAAGGGAAACCCCAGAATTACCACAAAGCCATCCCAATCTTGGCTTGGCATCACCAATCAGCTAAAAGCAATGTTTTCATTTAGCATTTAGGAGTGCACGTTTGTATCTGTGTATGCGTATGCATATTTTTAAGAATGAATTCTACTCCCGATTTTCATCTTTGCAAATAGATTGGGGGTTGGGGGTAGATGGCCGGTAATGCCTATTAGAACTTCAAGGGATTGGTTTTCACATGAGAGAGCTTCAGAAATGAGAAATCGCTGAAATTATCTGGTAGCAGCTTCTGAGGGACATTTACCGTGGATTCACTTTTACATTTCAGTTCATTTGAAAGCCAGTATGGTTAAATTAACCAAAATCTAAATTAAAAAAAAATTCCACGATTCTTCCAGGCCTACTTCACATCATCAAACCAGGCCCTGCTGGAGGCCCCATTAAAATGGCAGCTCCCACTGAGAGAGAGACAAAAGCCCCCTCTCTGAATGGGGATGCTGAAACAGTGATGGACTCTCAGAACTGCTTTTTTTTTTTTTTTTTTTTTAATCCATTAAAAAAAAGTTACCTCTGCATTGACTGTGAGAGAGTATTTATTTCGCTCTCCACACTGTGGGAAACAGAGGCGATCTCCCTTATAAGGACACCCAGACCTTCTAGGGAGAGGAGAGAAATATGAATCCATAACATGGCTGAACAAATTCCTCCTCGCAACTGAATTCATGGAATGTTTTGGACGTGAACAGCTTAATTTTGGTGTGGTCTGGGACAAATTAATATGACTCAAATCCCACCTCACAGAGGAAGCATCTCCTGATGAAGTGGGTGGAGTGAGTACACTCACTTCCTTCAAAATTCTGTCGAACAATCATCTCTATTAAATTTAAATATGTCTCACCCTCTTCCCCAGCAAGAAAAAAAAAAAAAAAAAAACTAAAAAAGAAAAAAAAATAGGGAAATCAAGAACAAACTGAAAATATATCTAAAAAGCCTAACTGCAAAGTGTTCAGCAAATGATTATGTGAAATTTTAGGCTGTATGAATGATAATGAGTTTGTATATAACAGAATAAAAGCTTCTAGAGGGTAGTCCAGAAACTTTGTATTTTGGGAGTGAATACATTAAACAAGATTACTCTTCTAGGTTCTCACGAAATCCCAATTATTGTTATTCCAACCCGGAAGGCTTAGGGATGAACAAAGACGTATCACTCTCTTCTTCCAGAAGATGAACTGGACTTTTCACTTTAACACTTAATCGGACATCACTCTTCTCCCATGGAGATGCTCAGTCTCTAGCAGGGAAGGACATTTATATATGAAAATGAACTGTGATGTTATCCTCTCCAGGACTAAGTTTATTGACTTTTGCAAAATGGGAATAATTTCTTCACTCTTTCAAAATGGAAAAATGATTTCTAGCACATATGGGAGTAGGTTCTCGAGTGAAAGTTACTGTAAATATTAGATAGACAGTGGGATTTAGGAACCCACTTGCATGTGGCTCACACACATTACCTTGTATTTATAGAAGGCGGTAGTGAGGAAGATTACTTTTCAATGATCAGAAATAGAAATCATGTTTATTTGACTCTGAACTGCATGATATGCTTATTCTTTCTACATATTTAGGCATGTAATTATGTTTGGGTTTGGTTAGTGTTAAAAATTAGATTACATTTCCTGAACTGCTGATAATCAGCAGAAGTTCTTCAAGAAGCAAGATGGGTTGTTAGGCACTTTGAGGTGGAATGCCAGCCAAGATGACATTTTTGAGATGCCCTTGGGCTGCATAAGCACATGAGATCATTAGAGACCATGAAATGCTGACAAACGCAGTGCGATAACACCACTCTGTGTGACAATCTCTGTAGTGGTAAAGGCTGTATACTTACTCTCGAACAGTGCTCCCATTCTAGAGTGGGGTTCTCAGAATGCATGTCCCTTTCCAGATGTATCTGCTATACTTAGTTTTTCTATAAGAACACTATTTTGATCAATAATCAATAGGAGAGACATTTAATTTAATATCAGTGTTAAGAGCCTTTGAAAATGCTTATTAATAAAAGATACAAATTTATGCATTCCCTTTTCATTACAAGAATCATACACCATCAGAGGTAAAAGGAACATCCTTCAGAATCGGTTTTCAAATTTTTTTTTTTTTGCTTGAAATAGACTCCTTTTAAAAATGGAATAAAAAGAAATAAAAGTCTACATGGCATTCCAATATGTAAAATAATACCAGTATGTGTTACTGAATGGGGGAAATAAATAGAGTTCCAGAAGTTCATTTTGAAAATCACTGTGTTAACATGTTTCCTAAACTTCCTGAAGAAGAATCTGTATGAATCATCTGAGGATGCAAAGGAATAGTAACAAACACAGAAATCCTAAAATATCGGGGAAATGGTATCATTGTACTAAGATGGCACCTACTCGTATACAGATGAAGAAATGGGAGTCTGATTGTTTGCGACAAATGGCCAAAGGTTGCACAGCTCCTTTAGGACAAATTCAGGACCCAAATTCATTGTTTTTTCCCCAGCTTGCAGTTCACTATCTGATGCCGCCTCTGGAGTCTGGAATGCCTTTGAAATCAGGCTGTATGACACTCTAATCAATTTTAATGATCTAAAGCTTTTATAAATTGGTGAAAAATTTTATAGCACAAAACAACTTTCTACATTGTTCTGGGCTGCCACAAAATCAGTCATGATTCTCAGAGATATTTTTATGTCCATATGTTGATGATAATCATTCCTTATATTTATGTGGCTCAATATGCATGGCTTAAACACCACTACATGCATTCTGGAATTGGACATAGGACATGACATCCCTGACCAGTAAATCCCTTGAATGAGTGCATTTTCCCCCTCTGTGCATGTCTCCTTCTCGTCCATTGTCTGTCTCCTTTTCATGCCTGTCAGGCGGTGGCCATGACTGTGCACTTATAAAGGTCAGTGACCCAGCAGAGAGGGCAGGCCCTGCAGAAGGCGTGTTGATGAAGCATTACAATGCACACTGAATTTGTTAGCTCTCTGGCTTACTCCCAGGGGCAGGCTACAATTGTTTCCTGTGTGGCATGGCACTCACCCGGAACTCTTATGGTATGGGCCATTCCAACCAGGAATCTCTAAACCACATCCTACAAAATAAACACCCATATTTCCCAGCTCACTAGATTCTTATACCTGGCTCTCTTTCCCTCAATTTGTACACTATACCCAGTGAAATGAATTAAAACAGAGTTATCTCTTATTTATATAAACAGTCAGCCACAGGGAGGTTTTTAAGGGATTATCTGCAAAACTGGGAGGCCACATAGACGATAATAAACTCACATCTTTCAGGTTGAAAACTTTTAGAAGGCTGAGGTCCTAAGCCTCTTTATATTACAAATACTAAATTAAACAAAAACAGACATGGCATTTCCTTTGAGATTGTCTTAAGGAAGGCGAGCATTTATTTCTCTCTTTGTAGCATTTACCTTTTAGTAAAGCAATGATGATCTAGAAATGAAAACTTGTAATTCAAAAGTAAAAGTTTCACCTAAAATTTCAAACTTGCTGTAATTTTATGCTACATGTGAAAATCTTTTTACTTTAGTGAAATAGAATGAAAAAGTTGCCTGCATATGTTCTGGTTCTGGTTATGCTGCAGTAGTTTGTATCAGACTGCCCTTCCTATAGATAACAATTGTGAACTCTGGACAAAATATTAAAAGACATCAATTTAAACATACTGGGGAGACAACAAAGCAGCCAAAAACTAGAGAGAATTTGATCCTTGAATTAAGGAACCAAATTAGATAAAATCAATGTATTTATTGATGTTTTTATAGGTGCTCTACAGTCCACTTGGTGCAGGACAGCTAGAATTGAAGCAAAAAGTTAGTCTTATTGACCTGAGGAGTCAAAGGATAGTGTTTGGAGCTATCACAACATCTGGAAATTGAGGGGTAAAAATCCCAGAGAGAAAGATCACAGAGCAGATAGGTAGGCCCCAAATCTGCTCATCATCTCCTCTCTAATCTTTGGTGAGCCTCACCTGCACATGTGAAAGGGAAACTCCAAGGTGACCAGTGAAAACCCGTAGCTGAGAGACTGAAGGAACAGAACAGAAATTTTTAAACTCTTGTTCACTGCACCAAGACAGAGTTTAGAGTTTGAGTCCTGCCAAGTTTGAGGAGCTTGGTAGTTTTTCAAGATTACCACTTAAACTCTCGAAAAGTCATGCTTTAGTTATAAAGGCTAGTTATCAGATTCCAGAGATTTGCTTTAGGACTAATAACACAATGGAAACAGACCCCGTCAAAGCATAAAATCAAGCCTCTAAAAGTTCATGGTGAGCTGCCAGTAATTTAAATGCCATGGACCACAAGATTCTGTACTGTTGAGAGGAAGAAACAGAAACTAGAGTTTATAATGTATTCTTTACGATGTCCAGTATACACTAAAATAGTACTAGACATACATATGAAGAAATGGGGAAATGTGACCAAACAGTAAATGATCCAAGATGACTTGGATGTTACAAAGACTTAAAATTAGCTATTATATATTTGTTTAAGGAATTAAAGAATAAGATAGTCATAATAAGTGGACAGATGGAGTATTTCAGCAAAAAAAGGAAACTAAAAAAGAATGAAATATAAATTTTCAAGCTAAAAAGCACAGTGTTTGAAATAACATTTACTGGATGAATTTAAGAGCAAAGGATTAGGGAATTAGAAGACATCCATAGAAACTATCCAGTCTGAAGAATAGAGAGAAGACAAATTATGTGAAAAAGTGTGTGAAGAGAGCTTTAAGGTCCTATGGGAAAGTATCAAATAATCCAATCTATATAAATTGGCTTCCTGGAAAAAGAAGACAGGGAAAAGGAAAAAATTTAAAAAATAATAGATGTATAATGGAAAATAAATCAAGTTATAAAGCCACGCAGCTCAGCAAGGCAAGTACAACAAAACAAAACAAAACAAACAAACATCTAGGCACAGTTTTGCCAAAGTTGTCAGAGGAAAAAGATCACATACAGGGATCAATGATATAATTAATCACCTTCTTTTCAACAGAAGCAATGAGACAGATACAATGTAACAACATCTTTAAAGTGCTGAATGATCATACCTGTCCATCTGGAATTCTACATCCAGCTGAAATATCCTTCAAAAATGAAAATAAAGGCTGACCTGCTAAAGGTATATTAAAGGAACATTTTCAGACCAAAGAAAATAAAACTACGAACTCAGATCAGCAGAAGAAATAACACCAAAAATTTTTTTTCAAAAGTGGGTAAATATACAATATTGTTTCTTCCTTTTTAAAAAAACGTGGCTCATTGTTTAAAGCAACATTTAATTGTGGCATTATAATATATGTTGATATATAGCATGTGCCTGGGAATTAATGGAATGCTACAGTTTCTGGGCTTTTACATTTTACATAAGGGGGTCAAACATTCACTCTAAGTAGACTGTGGTGAGTCAATAATGCATGTTATAATACCTAGAGTAATTACTTTAAAAATACAAAAATGTATAGTTAAATCCATGGGAGAACTAAAACGAATACTATAAAAATGTGATTAAGCAAAAATAATGTAGGAAAGGAGAAACAAAGGAAAATGATGGGGTAAATAGAGAATAAATAACAAAATGGTAAACCTAAATCCAACTATGTCAATACTTAACACTAAACATAAATGGATTAAACACTAACTAAAAGACAAATATTGCCAAATAATATAAAAAGCAAAATTCCACTATAAACAGTCTATCAGATATGCACCTTAAATATAAAGATACAGATAGGTTGGAAATAAAAGTAAAAATATATACCATGCAAACTTTGAGCAAGAGAAACGTGGTGTGACTGTGTTAACCCTAGAGAAATGCAGACTTCAAGTAAAGGATTATTAGTAGAACTTAAAGGCATTTCATAATGCTAAAGGATCAATTCATCAGACGTAATAATTATAAATGTATATGCAGTTAATAATAAAACTTCAACATATAAGGAGCAAAAACTGACAGAACTAAAGAGGGGACTAAAACAATCCACAATTATAAAGACCTAACATCACCCTCCCAGTAATTGAAAGAATAACTACATGAAAAATTAGGCCGGGCATGGTGGCTCACACCTGTAATCCCAGCACTTTGGGAGGCTGAGGCGGGCAGATCATGAGGTCAGGGGATCAAGACCATCCTGGCTAACATGATGAAACCCCTGTCACTACTAAAAATAAAAAAAAATAAGCCAGGCATGATGGCAGGCACCCGTAGTCCCAGTTACTCAGGAGGCTAAGGCAGGAGAATGGTATGAACCTGGGAGGTGGAGCTTGCAGCGAGCTGAGATCGCACCACTGCACTGCAGCCTGGGCAATAGAGTGAGACTCCATCTCTAATAATAATAATAATAATATAGGAGATTTTGATACTAAGAACCATCTTGACCTAACTGACATTCACAGAATGCTGTAACCAGTAACTTCAGAAGGTATATTCTTTTTAAGTACGTAAAGAGCATTCATCAAGATAGACCATATGCTGGGCCATAAAATAAGACTCAAATTTCAAAGGATTGGCATTTTACAAAGATGTTTTCTTACCACAGAGGAGATGAATTAGAAATTAATTACAATAAGATCTCTTGAAGACTGCTAAATGAACTGTAGGTTAAAGAAGAAATCACAAGAAAAATGAGAAACTTTCAAAATGAATGATAATGAACATATAACATATCAAAATTTGTGGAATGCAGATAAATCAGTTCTTAGAAGAAATACACTTTGAAATGTTTATATTTTAGTTGGGCTGGGAGCGTGGCTCACACCTGTAATCTCAGCGCTTTGGAGGCCTAGGTGGGCAGATCCTTTGAGGTCAGGAGTTTGAGACCAGTCTGGCCAACATAGCGAAACCCTGTCTCTACTAAAAATACAAATATTTTTATTCTGGGGCATAGTGGCACATGCCTGTAATCCCAGCTGCTCAGGAGGCTGCGGCAGAAGAATTGCTTGAGCCGGGGGGAGTGGAGGTTGCAGTGAGCTGAGATCGTACCTCTGCACTCCAGCTTGGGAGACAGAGCCAGACCCTGTCTCAAAAAAAAAAAAAAAAAAAAAAAAAGCTGATATTTTAGTGAAAGAAAGATGTCAAATCAATGATGTAAATTTTCATTTTAAGCTACTACAAAAAGAACAAATTAAACTCAGTTAAACCATATATATGTAAATAATAGAAATAATAAATGTGAAAGTATAAATCAATGCAATAGAAAAGAATAAAGAAAATTAACAAAAGACACAAGTTGTTTCTTTGGAAAGAGTAATAAAATTTATAAACTCCTAGCAAACAAATTACTAATATCAGGAATAAAATAAAACTATAGAGCCTATAGACCAGCAGTCCCCAACCTTTCTGGCTCCAGGGACCAGTTTTGTGGAAGACATTTTTTCATGAAACAATTGGGGAGTGCGTGGTTTCGGGATGAAACTCTTCCACCTCAGATCGTCAGATATTCAATTCTCATAAGAGGCGTACAACCTAGATCTCTTGCATGCACAGTTCACAATAGGGTTAGTGTTCCTATGAGAATTTAATACCACTGCTGATCTGACAGGAGGCGGAGCTCAGGAGGTAATGCTTGCTTGCTCACTGCATGCCTTCTGCTGTGTGGCCCAGGTTCTACACAGGCCACGGACCAGTACCTGTCTGTGGCCCGGGGATTGGGAACCCTTGCTATAGGCATTAAAAGAATAATAAAATAAGGGTGACTTATGTCTTTATGACAGTACTGGAAAAATTGGGTAAATGTATAGTAAAAACGATCCTCAGCTTCTACCTCACATAATACACAGAAATTAATCAGATGGATTATTACAGATCTGAACCTAAAACCTAAAACTTGACCATTACTAGAAGAAAACAGGACAATATTGGATCCATTAATTAAAAACAGTAAGCCACAGACTGTGAGAAAATATTTATAATACCCATATCCTACAAAGGATTTATATAGAGAATACATAAATAACTCTTACAAGTCAACAATTGGAAAAACAAATAAGAAGTGTAATAGATAGACAAAATACTTGGACAGATACTTCCCAAAAGATATGTACAAGAATAAATGCTCAAATATCATTAATTGTCAGGGACATAAAAACTAAAATTATAATAATATATCATTTTATATAAAATGTTGGTGAGACGGTGGAACCCCTAGAAATTTCATACAGTGCTGATTAATATATAAAATGGTACCGTTTGATAATTTCTTATGAAGATAAACATAGAACAGCCTTATCACTCAGCATTTCTACTCCTATAAACTTAGCCAAAGGAACAGAAAATATGTCCACAAAAATATGTACAGGAGGGTATTCATGGAAGCTGGGATTTATTGAAGAGAGTATATGGGAACTTTCTGAGGTGATAGAAATATCCTCTATTATATTTAGCAAAACTCATTGACTTGTATGTATACTTAAGATCTGTGACCTTCACTGTATGTTAATTTTAGCTCCAGCCATCACAAAGCCAAGAAACAAACCTCATGAATGCCACTATTTCCCCTTGAGAAAAAGCAACAATGTCACAAAACATTGATAAAAAGGAGTGGAAAGTATTCTTAAATGAAGATCCTGAAACCTTTGTGTACTTTCTAGTCATTGCTCCCATTTGTCTTTTTTGTGAGATTTATGACAAGGTTTAAAAGAAAGCTAAAATAATAACTGCTAGAAGCATAACTTCTAGAACCTTAGGAAGACAATTTAGCAATGTCTGAAAACTCAAATTGCTCTTACCTTTGACCAGCAACCCCCCTTGTTGACACCTATTCCACAGAAATATTCACATTAAATGTATAAAGATAGACATGGACAAAAATTTCACTGTAGCATATCTTGGAACAGGAGCGAACTAGAGACTGCTAAATGTCTACTGATAGGGGAATAGTTAACAAATTATGGCACATCTATGCTAACAAATACCGTGCAGCTGTTAAAAGAAAATATAAATATTAGATGTCTACAAGACAGTCTTGTGTGAAAGAAGCAGGCTGCAGAACAAAATGCACAATATTATCTGTTTTGAAATAACTTCCTCCATTCTCTCTTCTTTTTCTCTGCTTTTCTCCTTCCTTTTGCTTTGTGAATGCATAGAAAATGACCCAAAGGATACACATTAAACTTTTATCAGTGGTTACCACCTGGAGAGAGGGTGTGGAGAGATGGTGAGAACTTTTTTTTTTTTTTTTTGCTTTCTATATGCCTATATTGTTTGATATACACATAATGGATGTGTGGTTGTTTTGTAATTTAAAAAAGAAAAGAGTAGCTTGCACCTGTAGTCCCAGCTACTTCTTCGAAGGCTGAGATTGGAGGATCACCTGAGCCAAGGAGGTGGAGGCTGCAGACGGGATCTCACCTCCATACTCTAGCCTAGGTGAGAGTGAGACCCTGTCTTTAAAAAAAAAAAAAAAAAAGAAAGAAAGAAAGAAAGAAAAGAAGAAGAAAAAGACAAAAGGAAATGAAGGAAAAGGAAAGTAAAGGAAGGAAGAAGAAAAAACAGAAGGAAGGAAGGAAGGAAAGAGAGGGGAGGAGAGAGGAAGGAAAAGAAGAGCCGGGAGAGGAAGGAGAGGAGGGAAACATAGGAAGGGAGACTGCAGGCCTCTGAAATGCAGAAGCAGAGACAATCATATGGTCAATGTTCTGAATTGCTCAGGGCTTGGCAGAATGATCCCTCTAGTCTATGGACCATAGATTTGATCTCTGCACCTTGAGAAGGTAATTAATATTTCTTAATTTTAAAGACAGAGTAGTCGATTCCACAACTTCCCTTGGTAACATTTTTATGTATACTGATCTTTACCTTCAGGTTATTACTTCCTTATATCTGAGGACTTCTGTCACTGGGCTAGAAATGGAATCACTGATCATCACATATCATTACACACAATGTTAACTTTCAGTTAATCTTGTTAATGTTAAAAGAGGAACAATGACTTGGACGAGGAAACTCCCCCCTCATAAATAAATAAATATATATATGTGTATATATATCCTATCACATTATATATATAATATATATGATATACATATGCATATGATATATATATATATCCTATCACGTTAAAGCCAGAAGAACTTGAAGAACAGTGGTGTACTGTACCTGCATAGCCTTGGAGTCAGGCAAGAATGAAAGCCAGCTCTGTCTCCTACCAGCTGTTTGCTTTGAGCAAACTAATTAACTTTCTTGAGCCT